CCGAGCGGGGAAATAGCTGGTTATGCCTCGGAACTCCTTGTGCTGTTCCTCAGTAGTTGTTGTTTTTGTTTGTTTGTTTTTTAATATGTTTTTATTGATTTCAGAGAGGAAGGGAGGGAGAGAGAGAGAAACATCAATGATGAGCGAGAATCATGGATCAGCTGCCTCCTGCACGCCCCCCACTGGGGATGGAGCCCGCAACCCAGGCCTGTGCCCTGACCAGGAATCGAACCACGACCTCCTGGTTCGTAGGTCGAGGCTCAACCCCTGGGCCCGCAGTTGTTTCTGATGAGAGAGCAGGAACCCGGGCCACTCACAGGTGTCTCCCAGGCAAAGCGCGGGCACAGCCAAAGGCACGCAGACCCGACACTGAGCTCCTGGCACCGCTCGCGGCCTCTTTAGAAACATGTGTTTAAAATAAAAACCCGGAGGAATCTCCTCTCGGTGTTCCAGTGGGTTGCTTGTTTTGGTTTTTATTTTTCTGAGTAATTGTTATTGTTACGATGAAATAAGAAGAAGAATTTGTAGCGTTGCCCCACGCGCAGGCAGGCCGGGCCAGGGCGAGCTGCGGTGGCCTCCATGCCGGGCGCCGTGTTCGGGCTCAGTGATGTCCTCTCTGTGTGTGCAGACACCACCTCCCCTGTACGCCGCCCCGTTCGCTTTGGCTGTGGGTCCCTGGGAAGCGATGTGCTGGTCTGTGTGGCTGTTTCTTTTTTTTTTAATATATTTTTATTGATGCAGCCCCCTCAGAGTCATTCATCATGTCACCGCCCCCCCCACACACACACACGTCAGCATGCATTTCTAAAATATGAACATTGTCTTATGAGACTGCAGTGCCATCGTCACCCCCAGTCAGATGAATGGTAATTCCCCGGGACTGGCCCATAGTCACGAGTCCCGGACCAAGCAGGGCTGTGACCCCCGGGGAGGTGAAATGTGGTTGTTTCATTTGGGCCGTGTCCACCCTCCAGGAGCAGAAAAGAGCGTGAACTTGACTTTGTCTCCATCTTCCCGTTTCATCCCCGTCCCGGTCTCCTAAGGGGCTGGACACGTCATTGCTTCCCGACCTCCCGAGAAGTGCTGACTAATCCAATAAGCGTGCAGGCGATGAGAGTGCTTTTCCCTGGAGCTATTGGGAGAGATTGCTGAGGCGGAGCCGGTAAATTACATTTTAAATCATTACGTTGTACCTTCCTCCCTCCAACACAGTTTGCCCTTTTCCCCGCAGACACAGGGAGGGTTTCAGCTCCTAATGAAGAACTCCTTTCTGGAGCCCGTGCTCAGAGCCCGAGGTTAGTGGGCCCATGACGTCACCCCGGTTCCCAGCCTCGCGTGCGGGATTGCCGTGTGAACATGAAACCGTAGGTCCCATCTGAGTCCCGGTTGCCTGTTCTCTCTAAGAAGTATTCTCTTTTAAAAAAAGAAAGAAAAAGAAAGAAACCACAGTGCTGTCATCTGAGAAACAGATCTGAGGCTGGAAGCCAGAAAGATTGGATAATGTTTGCCCTTTTCTGAACACAGCTTGTCCCGAGAAGAGAAGGGACGTTCTGGGCCGGGTGCGTGGAGCGGGCACCGTCCCTCCCGGGCGCCCGGGCGGCTCGCGCACTTAGCAGCGAAGCCACGTGGAGGAGGAAGCGCTAACCCTTCGCCTGGGGCTGTGAGCTTGTCCTTGTCCGAGGCCGACAGCTTTGCTAGAATGCACTCCCGTGAGGGGGACAGCAGATGAGTCGGAAGATTTCCCGAGGGGAGTGGATTAGAGCTTCAGTCATACAAACCATCCCCCCCACCCCTCACCGCGTGGTTTTAAGCAGTTTTACAATGTTGAGGGTGTGATGCTTATAGAGATGTTCCCATGGCCCAGAGGCATGTTTTGTCATGTGTGACATCAGTCGCCCTGTATGGCCTGTATCTTTCCATCCCTGATCGCTACACTCCTTCAAAAACTGTCCGGTGAGTGCCTGCGGGGTTCCAGGCCCTCACCTCAGGGCTGAGGAGACAGAAGGTCATTAAAAAAGGGAGACAGTAGCCCAAAGCATCAGGCCTGCGCAGAGCCCCTCACTTCCCACGTGTTTCTATGGTTCGGTTGGAAAACGCAATGGACCAGTCAGCCCTCCAGCAGCTGCGGCGGCGTCGGCGGCTGTCATCCGGGCACTTCCTGGACGGGCGGGGTCATCGGCGAGAGGAACAACACGCTCCCGTGTAAGTGCCACGCGATTCGAGCCAAAATTCTGTCTTCGTGACTTAAAATGGAAGCAGTATATTACGAAATTATTTTGCAGGAAACACAATTGTCCCCTACAGTCTCCAAAATGCTGTATCAACAGTTTTATTTATTATAGTTTGTGAAACTAAATGAGAAAGAGCTGGGGAAAGGGAACATGTTGTTGTTGTTGTTGTTTTTTAATTCCAGGGGGAAATCGTTGTTTGGATCATTTCGAGAATGTTAGGAAACGGAGAATAACAAGAGACAACGAGGGTGAACTGTTCCGCTGCGCTCACAGATGTACAGTTCTGCACAGTTCGGATCCCAGCACGCGGACGTGATCGTCACAGATAGTTTGAATTTGGCAGCTAAATCCAACCGAGTGCGCAGAGGAGCAGCGTGCGCCCCGTGTTGCACTGAGAAAAAGTGATTCCAGGAGAAGGGGCAGAGGACTGGCTGCTGCCTGTCTCCGGACGCTCCGGACGCTCCGGACCCTGCGCTCACATGTCCTCCCGGCAGGCTGTGCTGACAGCGGCCAGGGTGAGGCCGACTTTGGAGCCAAATGGAGCCTCGTTCAGTCTCCACTGGCTCGGCTGTGTGGCTTTGGACAAGTCACTCAACCTCTCTGAGTAGCTCCCTCTCCCTTGTCACGCAGGTGACAACCACAGGGTCTGTGCCAAGTAAACTAAGAAAATGTACCTGATGCCCCGGTGGTGTGCTCAGTGGGTGGAGCATTGGCCCTCTGACTAAAGGGTCTCGGGTTCGATTCCGGTCAAGGGTTGCAGACTCCATCCCCAACCCTAGTCAGGGCTCCTGTGGGAGGCAACCAATCGATGTCTCTCTCACATCCAGGCACCCTCTCTCTGTCTCTCCCCTTCCCTTCCACTCTCTCTAAAAAAAATCAATGGAGAAATATCCTCAGGTGAGGACTTAAGAAAAGAAGGAGAAAATGCACTTTCAAAGCAGGTGTCGCAGGGCCTGACACCCTGAGCCAGCAGCAGCTGCAGGAGTTGGAGGCAGGAACAAGGCTGGGGAAGGGGCACGACAGGAACGGTGGCCGTGGCGGTACCTGGCTCCCACTCCCCAGATCAAGAGCCTGGAGCGTGAGTTCATTACCAGCATGACTTTCCCAGGAGGAGAACAGGTAGCATGAATACGTGCAAAGATCGAGCCCTGACAGGGGGTCCAGCAGGCTGCGGTGGAGACAATCCCAGGTCTCCGTTCTCTCCCTGGTTGTTCGTTTCCTCCTCTTGCCTCATCCCTCAACGTGCTGTCTCTACAGAGTCGTCCCCGTCCGATCTCCGTAAACAGGGCGGAGAGCCCGTGGTGTCGGCGTGCGGAGCCGTGGGTCAGGGTCTGGCGCTCTCTCGGGAAGCCAGGGTGAGGTCGCTCGGGTGGGACGCATCGGCCTGGGGCCGGACCGAGTTCCCTTTCGTCTTGTCCGCATCTGTTTGGCTCTGGTGGGGGAATGGAGCGTGTTAATAAAGAGCATTTACCTCGGGAACTCGGCCCAGCGCCTCGTGCGTTTTAATTACGGTTCTGCATTGCGTGCTGTGTCTGTGGCTGCTCCAGGCAACGTATTCCTCATACGAACATATCGCAGCTGAATTTCCAAGTTCCCGCAGGAGAAAACCGCTGCCCGCATCTGTATAGGGTGGCATAGTCATTTGTGGGATAATGGCTTGTGGGGGAGCAGTCTTCAGCAGGACACGGGCTTGGGTCCTGTGAATACCAAACGAGTTTGCGGGAGGGGGAGGGGGGGCCGCACCAGAGTGTGACTTCATCGCCAAGGGTGCCTGCTGGTGTAATTGACAAACACAGGTGGTCTCCCGTGAATTAGCCACGCAGAGTAATCCGGCCCTCAGACCGTACGCATGGTCTTCAAGGAAATGACAGGGAAAAGTTGACGCGTGATGAGTGAGCTTTCCATATTGTAAGTGATTGGCGCCCACCTCGGGCTTCCCCGCCCGTTGCCCTCAGTTAAGTGGCTCTGAGATGGAAGCCTCGCCGTCGGGCTTGGTCTCAAGGCGCCGACGGCATCGGAAAGTCCTGGAGTAACGACGCAGGGAGCGTGACTTCGCCCCACCCACTCCGCCAGCGGGGACGGCAGCTTTGCAGCGAGTCTCTTTCTTTTTAATGGATCCGGTTAGTCTGAGCGCCTGCTGTCCGGGTCGGGTTGCTTTTCTGTGATGCTGGTCCGGGGTTTGCCGTCCCCCACTCACTAAGCAGTTGCAGTACGTTGGCCTGGGTGCTGGGCTTCGGGGTGCAGCGTCTGCCCTTTGCACAACCTGAGGTGGGAGCAGGCAGCTCAGCAGGAACTAAGGTGGAAGGGGGAGGCTTGCAACGATCCTGGGAGAAACGGAGAGATGTTAACTGGGTCCATGACTGGGGCAGGGAGGGGGGGGGAGAAAGTGCCCCCAGAGGGGAGATGAGCGGGTGTTCCTCCCGTCTCCCGTGCTGGGGAATAGTGTCCTATGGATGAGATCCATCTCCTCCAAGCTGTGGAACTAAATTATACACGGGAGAACGTAGAGCAGAAGCATGGCAAGATTGGTCTAAGAAGAGCAATCTGGGGGTAACTTTTTGGCAGTCTGCCTCTCCTGCCTGCCTCTCCTGCCTGCCTCTCCTGCCTCTCCCCGGACAGCCGCACATGGGAGGTCCTCTGGGGGCCTCAGGAAGACGGGGTCCCCTGGGAGACAAGGGGGGTGGGGGCCAGACCCTGGCTGTCGGCGGCCTAGACCTGCACAGGCACCTTCAGCAGACTCTGCACTCAGCATGTCCTGTCTCCCCACAGAGGCCTCATTGCCAGCGGTTTCACGGAAACGCATTACCGGCAGGACGGCACGGAGGTGGCCCTCGCTCGGAACCACACGGTAAGTCCGGCGTGTGCGGCCCCGAGATGCTGTGCTCTCGCGTCTGTGCTTAAACGCGGCAGCTGTTACCTGAGAAGCTCACCGCCCAGCGCCTTCCTGAGGCCCGAGAGGAGCTGGGTGTCACCCATGGAAGCACCCTCCTGCCTCCAGCAAAACCTGGCCTTGGCCCGATGAGCCGCGACAGGCCTGGAGATGTGGCTTCATTGTAGCCCGACCTCAACACCACTTTCCAGGCACTGTGGGTGCTCATTGGGGCGAATCCCTTCTAGCCCAGGTGAGAGGGCGTGGCCCTAGCCCAGGTGAGAGGGTGTGGCCCTAGCCCAGGTGAGAGGGCGTGGCCCTAGCCCAGGCGAGAGGGCGTGGCCCTAGCCCAGGTGAGAGGGTGTGGCCCTAGCCCAGGTGAGAGGGCGTGGCCCTAGCCCAGGTGAGAGGGCGTGGCCCTAGCCCAGGTGAGAAGGTGTGGCCCTAGCCCAGGTGAGAGGGTAGCCCTAGCCCAGGTGAGAGGGCGTGGCCCTAGCCCAAGTGAGCAAGTCCCTGAACTGAAGAAAGACAAGAATCCAAGAGTGAAGACTAAAGACCAGCCCACTCCAGCCCGGCCCACATGGCTCGGGGGTTGAGCACTGACTTTTGATCCTGGAGGTCACGGTTTGAAGTCACCCGCCCAGGTTGCGGGCTCGATCCCCGATAGGAGGAGAGGGAGGAGGCAGCCAAGCAATGATTCTCTCATCATGGATGTTTCTCTGTCTCTCTCCCTCTCCCTTCCTCTCTGAAACCAATAAGAATACACTTTAAAAAATTGTTTTCGAGCATGGAAGGAAGATTGGCGGGCCCCTGGCCGACAGAGGCAGGAACATTGGTGTGGGGCCTCCTGTAGGGGGTGAGGCCAGAGTCCTCCGGTGGGCACGGCGGGGCGGCCGGTCTCACAGGGACACGGGAACATGAGATCCGCTTTCAGGGCGCGTTCAGTTTTGTGTTTGCCATCTCCCTGGCACACCGCCCTTCCTGGGGCATTGCTGTCCTTTTCTCATGGGGACTAAGGGACCAGATGGACGGTGCCCGCCGCAGCCAGGTCTCTGGGAGGGCCGAGGGCCACGCACGCAGCATCTCGGAGGCCAGCCTGGATGCCACGCCTTGTCTCTGAGGGGTGGCGACGGCGTGTCTTCTGCTTCCTGTGGTCTCGCGTGCGTGGGGGAGGAGGTCACCTTCTCCTTTCTCCTCCTTTTTCCACGAGGTGACCGTATGGCAACGGCCTCGCCCTCCCTCTGCTCACTCCCTCGGTCCCCCGGGCAGGGGCTTTGCAGGGAAGGGCTGGAGGGGCAGCTGGACCGCCCTGTGCCTTCCTGCTGACGGGGGAGACCTGCCTTGGCCAGGCCCCGAGGCCGCCCTCCCGACTCCCTTGGTGACTGAGACTCCCGACGACCTGCAGCCGCCTGCCCGGGTGGGTCCTGCGGCGGGGCAGGCAATTGGCGGGGGCGGGGGGACTTGGGGTTTTCCAGAGCCTCGCTTCCGCCCAGGTCTGCGTTGGCCCCCTGTCAGAATATCCCAGGCGCCCCCCCTTTGGAGGTCATGAAGCCTCCCCCGGCCTGGACTCTGGCTTCAGTGGGGGACGCAGTGGAGCGGGGGGCGGGGGGGGGGACAGGCACCCCACCTGGGAGCGAGCAGCACGCGGTCCTCTCACTACACGATGCTGCTCTCCTCGCGGCTCAGCCGGCCTCTCCCGGCCTCGGTGCCCTCTGAGCCGCCAGGGTTCTGGCGAGGCGAGGGGGGAACCCCACCCTGGGCCGCGGCCCCTCCAGCAGAGGGGGTGTCTTCCACCGGGCCTCGGGCTGTCTTCCACCATGAGGACACCAGGCAGCTCTGGGAGTCTTGTTTTTCCTGAATCAGCTGAAAACAGAAAGAAATGTGCTGACTCATCGCCTTACCCCGCAAGTCAGCACCCAGTGGATCTTCCCACATTTAAATTATGGATCAAATAAAAGCCCCTTGGGGGCTGCAGTCTTTTTTTAATCTCTCCACCATCCGTGTGAGCTGGCTGCCGAGCAGAGCGGGGGCTGGTTCTCATTTGGGGATCGATCGCCTGCCTGTCATCTCCCCGTCGCCCGACACGATGCGCCGTGTGGACTTCATCCTCCGCTGGCCTCGTCCGAGGGGCGATTCGGGTTTGTGTTGTCCCTTTGAACACGGCCTGCGGGAGACCGTGCAGCCGTTTATGCTGCTTACATCCCAAAGGCAATCCCGGGAAAGGCCGCAGTCACCCCAGACAGTCTCCTTAGCGCATTCGTCTGCTGCCCACGTGTTCACCGAGCACCTCCGGGGGCCGGGCACCGAGACCGCCCGAGGGACGGCAGGGGTGAGGACAGGGCCGCACGGGGCCGGCCCCGAGGTCGGCCCTCTACCCTCCTTCCAGCAGACATGGCTCTCGCTAGCGCCAGAGCCCAGCAGCCGGGCCCGGGTGTGGCTCTTCTTCCTCCGGACCCTCCTGCACACCGGGGGCTGAGCAGGGTGCACCCCGTCACAGCGAGGCGGGCTGCACGCGCACTCTCCTTTGAGTGCACCGTCCCCCGAGGTCCCATACGAGGGACATGGCTGGGCCAGTCATGCTGAAATACAGGTCAGCTACCGGCACATGCAAACACAGAGGCACAGACACACAGACACATGCACACACAGAGACACACACAGACACATGCTCACACATATGCTTACACACACACACGTATTCCCACACATGCTCCCACACAGACACACACCCACAGGCACATACACATGTGCTCACGCATGCTCTCACACACAGGCACACAGCGGGTCACCGAGAAAAATCGGGGGAAGAATCATCTGTTAACAGATGGTTCTGGAGATTGACATGCAGAAGAATGAAATCGGACTCCACTCCAAGCCAAAAATTACCTCACAGTAGATTAAAGGTCTAAATGTAAGAACTGAACCTATGAAACTCCTACAAGGAAACGGGTGTCAGCCTTCGTCCCCGTAGGTCAGGGGCTGGTTTCTTAGATCCGGCAGCTGATGCACAAGCAACCGAAGGGACAGAAGGGAGGGGGTGGCTTGGTCCCTCCGACGGCGCAGCCCTTTGCCGCGGCCACACGCTCATCATCCAGGGGACGCGAGGGAGGCGTGTGGGGCCCCCACGTCTTTCCAGGCAGCCCCCCGTCCTGGGGCTGCAGCAGGACCTCTGTTCAGCCCGAAGACCAGCCCCGGTCCTGGACAGAAGCCCCTCACGAGGAGGCGCTGTGCTGTGGCTCCCTGTGCAGTGACCTTGCGCACCAGGGGGCGTCCCGGGCCTGTCACTCGGGGACTTCGCACTTAGACACGGAAGGCGTCGCGGTTTCCCCTTCCTGCCGAGCTGACATGTCCCTCTCAGTCGGGCAGTTCGGTGAGGGCCCCTCTCTCCAGCCCCCACTCCCATCGGCTTCTCTGCTTCCATTTGCCGCAGACTTAGAGGACCTGGCATTACGCCCACCGTGTCCTTCCCCCCAGCGCGCCTCGTCTCATGGCAAACAGTCTGCATGAGGGTGACACGGAGGTCCGTGCGCTTGTCCTGGGGCCGGGTCTTATACGTGTCTGGTCTTATACGTGTTCCTGACGGGGGTTAGAGAGCAGAAGGGCCTGGGTCCGTTTTCCAGCCCCGTGGGCGCTCTGGCCCTCGGTCCCAGCTGGGCCACGCGGGCCTCAGCGTTTAGTTAAGGCTCCTCATTGGATGGTTTAGGCAACAGGGAATCCAATGCTGTCGGTAAGACAAGCGGAGATGGTGCGTGGGGTTGGATGTTGTGACTGAGCCGCTCTCTCCTCCTTTCAGGGTCATTGTTACTACCACGGGCACGTGCAAGGACGCCCCGGCTCCACGGCCAGTCTCAGCACCTGCTCGGGTCTCAGGTGAGTGGCCAGGCAGCGGCGGCTCCCAGCTGTCCTTCCTCCCCTGTTCCCCCTGGTGGCGGCTCACCTCCCCCGGCCAGATGGGAGGCCTCGCCCACCAGACCCGGGAGCGCAGCTGGCCCCGCCTCGCGGGTTCTCCCTCGGCGCCTCTGTCCCCGCTGATCCCGCCCGGAAGGTGGGCGGGGAAGGTGGGCGGGGACTGAACTGGCTGAGTCTGGGTGTCCAGGGATTTGTGACCATCTGTCATTCACGGGACTCGGGTGCGTGACAACTCCCGGTGAGGAAAGACAGGACGTGACATTGGGTGGCGGTGAAGCTGCTCGCTTAATGAAAATAAGGAGTGAAGGAGCCGACCAGTCCCAGACCCAGCCGTGTGGAGTAAGGCGGGGGCACGGGGGCTTCTGCGATGAGGCGGAGGCACAAAGCAAGAAACAGTCACCTCCCCCAACACGCCCACCTGCTCCCTGGCTCACCGCAGCCGGCTCCCGTGTGCTCCCAGGAAAACCAGTTTGTTCGGCACATCTCCAGTGGTCCTGGCCTTCGCATTGGATTGATTTATTGAGTTTGTGGCGAGCAGCGTGCGTCCTCAGAGTCCCGCTTTGCCCTGGCCCGTGGCACCGCGCGTGGTTCTGTGGGAGGGCGTGCCAGGTGGGCACAGGCAGGGCTGCTCCCCATGCCAGCAGGGAACGCACAGCTAGGAGTTCTGTGCAGGGCCATGGAGAATGAGCCTCTACACACACCACACACACAACACACAGCACACACACAGCACACACAACACACAGCACACACAACACACAGCACATACAACACACAGCACACACAGGCATACACATACCACACACAGTCAGGCTCAGTAGTCTGCTGTCGACCATCCGATGGGGTGGGAACAGGAACGGGACACCCCGTGTGGATGGTGCCCCTGGTAATTTAAACCTCCCAGATCTTGGGGCTAGAGCGTCCCGGAGGGAGGTAGTCAACTCTGGGATCTTGGGGCATCGGACCAGAGGAGAAGCTGGGTTCAGTCTGCGCCCACCGACAGAAGAATCCATGGAGGTTGGACGCAGCTCCCGTAGCCCCAGCCTGGTAGGTCTTCAGAAAGCAAAGAGGGGTGGGAAACTGTGTTAAATACCAGGTGACCCAAGATCCATTCGGATCTAGGAATGCCAGGAAACTCGAGTGTCCCAGGGACGTGCATTAGGGCCCAGCCGGTGACAGTGCTGCAGAGAGGAAACTGGTTACAATGTTGCAGAGAAGAAGCCGGTGACAATGTTGCAGAGAAGAAGCCGGTGACAATGTTGCAGAGAAGAAGCCGGTGACAATGTTGCAGAGAAGAAGCCGGTGACAATGTTGCAGAGAAGAAGCCGGTGACAATGTTGCAGAGAAGAAGCCGGTGACAATGTTGCAGAGAAGAAGCCGGTGACAATGTTGCAGAGAAGAAGCCGGTGACAATGTTGCAGAGAAGAAGCCGGTGACAATGTTGCAGAGAAGAAGCCGGTGACAATGTTGCAGAGAAGAAGCCTGTTACAATGTTGCAGAGAAGAAGCCGGTGACAATGTTGCAGAGGAGAAACCGGTGACAATGTTGCAGAGAAAAGGCAGAGAAAGCACCTCCCACAGGCCCCGAAGGGCTGCACCTGGACCAGGGTCAGGAGGACTCTGTCCTGGAGCAGAGACGGGCGGAGGGAAGGGAGCAGCCGTCCTTCACGTGCAGCTTGAAGGGGAGCGAAAAGGGGAGAAGCACCAGGACCCGGTGGGAAGGGGGATTAGGCGGAAACAGCTCTTTCTCGGAGGCTGAAGTGCCATGTGGAACACGCGGCATAAACGTGAGTGCGGCTGTGGAGGTTATTTTGTCTCTGAAAGGCTCCAAGCCAAGGGGGACGTTCAGACCCTGATGAACCGTGTGCCGTATCGTGTGCCGCCCGGGACACCCGGCCCCCCTTAGTACACCGCCCCGGCCCCCCTTAGT